AAACTGTACTGTGTCTTGTCTTTATTTAATCCTTTCCCATATACTCATCTCCAAGATCAGGAGCCTGATCAGCTTGTAATACCAGCTCCCATGTCATTGACAGGCCACTGCCAAGACCCCAGTCTGAGAATCACAGGGATTTGCCTGGTCTCAAAAAGAAGGTAGTGCTTGCCCATTGTAGACCCCCATGCTGTCCAGTTCTGAGCTCTAGCAATCCTCGCCCACAGGAGAAGGGGCGCCATGGGCACACCGGCTCTGTCACTGGAAGGCAAAGGCACCGGAGTGCTCAGTAACACAGAGTGCTGCTTGATCATTTCCTTCTTATAACCAGTCTCTTTAGATCAGTTCCACACCGTGGTCACCAGTTGATTTACAAGTACCTAATTAAACTTTTACCAACATCCATTTCAAAAAAATTCCTGGAAATATTTTTGCACCTGATAGTATAATTACTGTTCCCAGGTTCTCCCCTCCTTCCTTGCTGGTAGCTCCTGCTCGGCCTCCTTGGCTGTCTCCTGACCTCTGGTATTGCCCTTTTCCTGTCTCCCCTGCCCTCATTATAATTCCATGAAACCAAATGGACTGCTTCATACAGCGATCTAGAACAGTGATTGAAGCATAATCAGTATTGAAAATATTTCTTATATAAGACCCAGAAGATCTAAAAACATCATATCACAGCGATATATGTGCACCTGTGTTCATAGCAGCACAATTTGTAATTGCTAAATTGTGGAAGTAACCCAAATGTCCATCCACTGAGGATCAGATAAACAAATTGTGGTACTTTTATATAATGGAATATTACTCAGCTATAAAGAAAGATAAACTCAAGGCCTTTATAGGTAAATGGTCACAACTAGAGACCATACTCATAAGTGAAATAAATCAGACTTGCATGTGCAAGCACCACATTGTTTCACTAGTGTAAAACTTTAAAGAGTTAATTTAACCTAGAAGGAATGATAGACATTGTGAAATGATAGGAAAACACTCAAAGGTAAAGGGCAATTGGAATGTGGGAAAAGTGAAGGGAAAGAAGGAGAAATTTTGTATGTATGTATGTATTCTATGGCCTTCAATACTTCTCATGGCCATGCACAGGATAGTTAACATAGTTGTTCTACTGTCTTCCATTTCTTTGCTGAAAGAAACTGTCAGTAAGTCCTTGATTGATCAATATTGAATGTCTCTATCTGTTTTTATGAGAAATCACTTTGAAGATATCAATATGTAGTACAACAAGCATTGTTAATTTCCTACCACTTTGTTTGTAACTCTGTACTGTCTGTACTGTTCTTTTGCTATTTTGTAAAAGGTTGTCTGTCTGTTAATGTTTTCCTTTTATTTTTTAAATAAATAAATAAATTAAATAACAAAAAATAAAATAAAACATATATTGAGCTCCTATGTGTATAAATTACTATCTTAAAGGTTGAAACACGTATTAAAACAGAGTCAGTCCAGCCTCGGAGGATGACCTGTGTTTCTTGGAGCCTTGCAAAAGAGCAGGCTGGGTGAGGGGCTCCTCTAAATTCCTATCCCAGGAGCATGATGGAGTATTATGTGTTTTTAGGCCCAGAACACATAAAAAACGTCATAAGCATCTTCTCTCATCCTTTCTCCAGCTTCTACAGATTACATTCTCATCTCCCAAGATAACTCTGTGGACAGAAAATGTACTGCTTGACTTCCTTCTTTCTTTCTTTCTTTCTTTCTTTCTTTCTTTCTTTCTTTCTTTCTTTCTTTCTTTCCTTCTTTCTCTCTTTCTCTTTCTTTCTCTCTCTCTTTCTTTCTTTCTTTCTTTCTGTTCGTTTCATTAGTTGAATTTTCACTAGATGAGGTAAGTTTAAATTCTCAAAAAGTGCAGCTATATAACTTTTGTGGAACTGAGAACATGTCATTTACAGAGCAGGGGATCACTGTGGATAAACTTGGATCTTGGACACCCAGAGTGTAAGAAATTGTACTAGGAAGGGGATCTTTTCTTCTACTTTCATTGGCCTACAGTTTTGTTTTTTGTTTGTTTTGTTTTGATTTGTTTCCCTTGCATTCTAGAGCACTGGTAGAAAAACTCTGCAGTAATATATTGCTCTGTATTATCAAGTCTAAGTTCCCATTTCTAGATCAGCTCCTGATAAACTATGAAAAAGTATCCTTTTTACTGGTGGAAGTTTGGGTTAGTACTTTAAAGCCTGGCAAAATTGAAAGACATATCACTTAATTGATTATAGTTAAGGCCATATATGACAAAGAACACAAGCCACAGATATGGATTCCAAAACAATTTTTGAAATCAAGTGAAACAACATACTGGAGAGGGCTGAAACCAAGGATCACTAAAATATGTAGTCACTGACAATTATCAAAGGCATACTACAGCAAGTGGATCTAAATAAAGGAGCACTTAGTTGACTTGCTGAATGGCTCCAGTCAAGATGCTTATCCATAGAAATTTGTTCATTTAAAATAGCTTTTGTGCTCTTGTGTGCCAGTCAAGGGCAGGGACCAGAGGCGCAATGATGTAGCATTCTGGCCTTAAAGATCTCACAGTCTACTAGAGGATACACATTCATAAAGAAATATTTGCCAAACAGTGAAGAAGTACGATGGTGGGGACAGGTATATAGAATCTGGAATCAGTGAAAAGGTATCTGACATCCATGAGGCCAGCATGGGGGGAATGAATTGTGGGAGGTGATATATCCTCTGAATCTCAGGGGTAAACAGCATACACAGTGAATGAACACAGGCAAGAGAGAACATTCAGGAGAGAAATCAGCCTGACATTGTTAGGGCATAAAAATAAATGTAACTTTTGCTCCTTAATGTTTATTTAACTTTGAGTTATGGTGACTTACATAATTCAGAAGTTTTAAGTTTCAATCTAGTAAAATATATCAATAGTTTCTCTTCTTTCTTTCATTAATTTTGTCTTACTCTAGCTCAATTTCCCTATTCCAGGTTGATAAAAATAATCTTTTATATTTTTCTAGTACCCTTATTGGAGTTTTAAATGTAATTTTGTGAATAATATTAAAAGGAAATTTCCTTCATTGGGCAAAATGACATTTAAGAGGCAGAGGGAGGAAAAGGAAGGGCATGAAAAAGAACTAAGCCGTGTAATGCACGTGAGCCCACTCCCCATGCTGGAAATAATCGTTCTGTGCTGCAAACATATACTCATGGGAACCAAAATTTAAAAAAAAAAAAAAATTGAAAGAAGTGGAAAGTAGCTAAATTGTACAGAGCCACAAAAGATAAAGATTGTTCACATGTTGTTCTGGTTGTGCTGACAATTAATTCAAGGACTGATTTATCATTTTAAGCTTATTTTTTATTCACACATAGTAAAAAGAAGCTGCTTTGGTATATAGTTCTATGAGTTTTGTACTCTTGATCTCTTGGTGAGGAAAGTTTCCAGAGTCAAGGCCGATTCCACGTAGCCCACGGGGGTGGAAAGACTGCATGCAAGAGACTGTCGTCCCCACCTGCCCACGTCAGCTGCACCAGGGTAACAACTCTGCTTGGTGAGATCATAACTCCGGTACTTCTAGGCTTTGATCCTTATGCCTTGTCCTTATAGAGCCATGCATATGCAAGTAATCACACTGTAGAAAAGGCACGGGCAAAAATGAAGCTCTGAATTCCAACTTTGATAGATAGATGGCTGAATCTCCCAAAACAAATGCAGGAGTTTCAAAACCAAATTATTATAAGAAAAAGAAATAGCAATAAAGAAACTCAATGGACTTAGATAAATTTTTTTTTTCCGGTACCGGGAACCGAACTCACGACCTTGCACTTGCCAGGCAGGCACTGTGCTGCTGAGCTAAATCCCCAGCCCTGGACTTAGATTAATTTAAGTAATAAACAAAATTATGTAAAAAGCCCAAAATACAGGTCAGATAGAGAACTAGTAACTCACTGCATAAATACAGAGATTCCTGAAAATACAACGAATATATTTACCAGCAGTTAAAGGTCGATAAATACTCTGCCGTGCATAATTTTCTGTAACACTGTGGCAAGCGTTTTGTCACATTCTGTCACAAAGATTTTCTTTACCTTTTCCTCAAACATAATCTCAAGAACAGCAGGCAACTGTGACGTTTGCTTGATGGTTCAGGTGCTGAAAAGGACAGTTCTTTCAGGAAGAGGCAGTCACAGTCCTCGGTTTAAGTTTAGAAATCTCCTAATACATATGTACTGTATGTATAATAAAATAGTGCTGAGTTTTCTGGGTACTGTTTTCTCTGGCAGGTATGTCTAACACAGATGGTGTTTCTCGGTTTATTATGACTTTCCTTCTTTTCTTGCACCGCTTACCATCTTTTTTATCTTGGAACATTGCTGAGTTTGGCCCTTCTGCAATCTGAAGGGCCCATTCCTGGATCACCAAGGGGGGCGCGGGGCTCTGAGCCAAGTTCCAGGAGCAGACTGCCTGTGGGTTCCCACCTGGCTGGCATCACATCCTTGGGAACTGTGGTGCCACAGAATACTTCCTCTGCCTCTACAGGTGATGGAGGCAGGAGGAGTGCCTGGAGAGGTAGAGCCAGGGCAGCATCATGTCAGGACTCGGTGCCCAGCACAGAGCCAGGGAGCCCGCACATCTGCCGGGATCACCTCGTGTCCCAGCCTCTCTGCAACCCTCCCAGGTGGTGGTAGGCATCCCCTTCTACCTGGAATCGCACCTCCAGCCTAGCAGCAAGTCCTACTCCAGCTTCTTTCCTCCGCTCAGAATTTGAATCCTCTCCTTGAGCTGCCTTACCTGTTCTGGTGTTTTGCACTAAAGAGCACATGAATGATATTTCTGAGTTTTGTACATATTGTTGAATCATTATTCTCTTTTCTCTATATCATCTCTTTGATTGGCTTTGTTTTCTTGCCCACTGTTCCCTGGTGCCCCTAGGATGTTGATAAATGGATGGAAGTAACTTTATTTCTGATCCAGAGCTCCTTTCCTTAGGTGTCACATGAAATTTTTCTTTACTCTTTAGATTTCCTTATCCTGAGCTCACGCAGTGGATCTCACAGTAACGAGCCTGAAAGATGACTCTCCATGCAGCACATCTCCACAGTTCTCTTGCCACACCAGTCACCCCACTCCTGGAACAGGGAAAGCTGCTCTGAAGCTGCATTTTCCCCTAAGGACTGTGGGAATGCAGAGCAAAAGGAGGATGTGAGTCTGCTGTGGGTTAAGCTGTTCTTGGAAGCCATTCTGCCTCTACCTGAAACTACTAGAAGAAAACAGAGGAAATGCTTCAAGACACCACAATAGGGAATGATTTTTTGGATATGACCCAAAAAACACAGACAATAAGAGCAAAAATAGACAAACTGGATAACAACAAACTAAAAAACTTCTGCGCAACAAAGGAAATGATCTACTGAATGAAGAGAGAGCCTACAGAAAGGAGAAAATATTTGCAAATTATTTATCAAAGGGTTTACATCCAGAATACACAAGAAGTCAAAAAAAATTTAAAAGACCAAAAAAGTAATCTAATTTTAAAATGGACAAATGAGCTGGACTTCCTCAAAAGAAGAAACACAAATAACCAATACATTGAAAAATGCTCAAACTGTTAAAGGTAATGATTTCTTTTCTTTATTCTGCCCTGGTCCATCCTACTATAGATGAAATTAAATTCATCTTTTCTCCTGATGTCTGAGCCTCATCTCCCCCAGAAACACAGGATCAATAGCAGATCACAAGAAGGCTGCAAGGTTTCTTCAGAGCAGGGCCCCACTGACTCTGACACACTGCTGGAAATCAGTGCACACACCCAGATCAGCCAAGGAAGCCTTCCGGTGTCACCTCAGTTCATCTTTGCTCCTTCCCCCAGTGTCTGTCACGTTTGCACTTGGGCTGCAATCCTTCACCTTTCACCAAGTCCTCCCTTCCAGGCTGCGTGCCCTACCCCACAATTTCCATTTGTCAGGGAGAAGGAAAGGAGGGATGATGGAAGGAGGGTGCCCTAAAACAGGTCTGTGACCTCTAACTTGGCAATGAGTTCTCATCTGAACACAGTAGGAGCTCCAGGCTGACTCTCAGCTGGAATGTCCCCACTTCACCCTCCTGTTGCTCCTGGTTGTTCTCAATAAAGAGGTCGGATCCAGCCATGTTTCACCTACTTAATAACTGTCCCAAATTAGGCCACAGAATCAAGAACTCATAGGATCTCAGGGTATGAAAGGACCTTTCACATCTTTAATGAAACTCTTAGTTGGGGCTTTTGGTTTCCTCCAACAACATGCAAAGTGGTCATCAAACTGCATTAATAAAGAATATAATTATAACAATCATTTATTATCCCACTCTAGTTATTGTGCTAAGCTCTCTACTAGCACTCTCTAATTGTATCCTCAATATGGCCCATTTTAGAGACAAGAAAACAAAGCTTTAAAAGGTTAAAGAAGTTTCTGAGGTTACAAAGATAATAAATGGAGACTCAAGTCAGCATCTTCCTGACAATAAAGCTAACGCTCTGAATTAATATTCCACCAGACTGCCTAACATGTAACTCCTGCAGTGATAAAGAATGAGTAACTCAGAATAGCGTCACATCCACCTGCACACAACATGGACTACTGGGCCCTTTATCATACTTATCAAAGATCTGTTTTCTGGTAATTTCCACTCCTCATCACTAATATACCTCACTGTACATATGATTCTTGTCTATTTAGGCTAGTTATCTTAGGGTAGAAATCTAGAGGTAAAATTAGGGGTCAAAAGATATAGACCTTTTTTTCATCTCAATGCGTGTTGTCAGTTTGCTTTCAAAGTAATCACATCAATGTATAAGGCCATCATTAATATAGCATTGATATTACGTGTTTAACATTCTTAATATTAAGTATAACACCCATAACTTATTTAATTATATTTATAATATTAAATTTAAATGTGTAATATGTGTACATTTTATAATAATGGGAACACTGGTTGGAAGAAGATATTAACTTATTAGGCAAAAGATGCACATTTCTTTATTAGTGATATAAAACATGTGTCCCCTTCACATTTTATAAGTTCATATTTCTTCTTTATATGTTGCTTCTTCTGTCATTTGAGCGTTTATCTACAAAACATCGCCACGATATATCCTTGTGTGGCTAAAGAGAGAATAATGGGAGAGTGTAAAACACTAGTCAAACGCAAAGCATTGTTGCCCTTTGGTGTTTTGAACACATTTTGTTCAGTGACGCTTGACTGATGACAACTGGAGAACGTGCATTTGTTAATAGTGTTCTAAATTTTAAAAGAAGAAAATGGGAACTTAGTACATTGCAACTTGCTGCCACTCCTTTGCTACATCACAGGTCAGTCACCCTTGCTCATACTGCACTGTTCTCAACCTCTCCACTTCTTAGTGCCAGAAGAGCAAACATCTGACCCTTTGGGGATGCCACCCTCTCCCCTACTGTTCTCTCAACCTGAGACAAACTTTCTCCTACTTCCCAGAGCCTCTCAGAGGCAAGGAGGTGAGCCTGCTTCTGGAAGACACAACCATTTTCAATCTTAAACTTCTGTGACCTCAGAGGTTCTCCTCATGCTGCTCTTTTGACCCTTGGCCACCAGCATCGTAGTCAGCACACTGGTGATGCCCGGTCACCATGGCACTATGCAGACACTATCTCCAGAGAAGTCTCTCAATGAGATGTGTCTAGCCCAGGTTAACAGCCCAGTATGTTCTGCTGTCACTCATCTGGATGGTCTCAGATAACAGAACTGTGTCTCTTATTTCCTCCGCTTCTAATAGCAGCTGTCCTCCTGTTTGTCATACTTTGCCTTAAAACATGCAATCACATGCTTTAGGAAACAAAAGCAATTGTAGCATACCCTGCTTCTTCTACACATGTATTGTAACTTTCTTTTATAGGCCAAATCCAAAAACTTACCCACATACCACATCCAATTTCTCATCCTTAAGGCAGGGCTGGAGGAAGGGATAAAAAGAGAGGGCCTGCCCCTCCCAATTCCAAGCAAGTAGAAGTGGTCTTCTGGTTATTTAGTGCTACCTTACAATAATAACTGTTTTATTATATTTCAGAATTTTGTGGGTAAGGAATCTAGGCAAGGCTCCCCTGAGTGGCTCTTCTGTTCTACTGACACTGAGGAGATTACTTGGCAGGTGGCTTATTGGGAGGGTGCAAGGTAGCTGCACTTGAATGCCTGATGCCTTGGTGAGAAGGGATGGAAATGCCTCCAAAGGCCATCTCCGGCATGATGGCCTCCAAAAAGTTCAATTTCTTACATGGAAACCCAAGGTTCCAGGAGCAAGAGTTCCAGAGGATGAGGAATGCAATGACTTCTGTGACCCAGCCTTGCCAGTCACATAGTATCAGCTGTCTTACTCAACCAGCCAAAGCATCCTCCAGCCTGCCACGTGGAAAAGAAAGGACACGAGCTCTCATTGCTTTCACAGTATAAATGGCTTCAACGTGCAATTTTGTTTAAAGCAACCTCAGAGAGAAGCACCGTGCAAGATTCAGGGGTAGGATTTGGGTGAGCGCTGAGGATTAACCATCTGATACAGAGGCTCCCTGGAGTTATCAAGGACGGATGCCCCTGCTCACATTTTTAAGTCATATATGAAACATTCTAAATCTCTGATTAACCATCAGCTTCACACTCTTATAACTCCACCAAAGCTGCATTCCCTAGGATCTCCAAGAGCATTAGAACCAAATCCAGTAGCCTGTGTCTGTTTGTCTGTCTGTTTGTATCTTCCTCACATTTATTCAAACTTGACACTGGTGAAGACCCAGCCTTTCGTTCATTATAGTCTCAAATGCCAGGTTCTAGGACCGTACATGTTACTATTTCTTTCCTAATTCTGCATTTGACCAGCCATTCTTTCCAGACCATAACTCTAGGTTCCTGTGTTTAGCCTTTGTTCCCCTTCCCAGTCCGTTGTACTCACTCCCGTGGAAAGCACGCATTTCCGCTGCATCGATATTACTGACACCCAGGACCTCCCAGCTCTGACTGCTGACTCCCTTAGCGAGGTACATCCACTTTCCTGTAGTAGCTTCTTATCAACACCATTCTCTCCCAATAATTCCATGACTTCAAAAGTTGCTGCCATCACTTAGTCCATCAAATCACCTCCCCTTACAGTCTGCCTCATAACAGCCAGTTGGTAACATTACTGAGCCTGCTTCTTATGCTCTAAAGCTTGGAGTCATCTTTGAAAACTCTTTGACTCCACTTCTAATCCTTCATAAAGCTCTGTTGTCTGTCAGGCTAAATGTGACATTTATCGGAGAGCACTTTACAAGCATTTCACAGGAACACATTGATAAAATGAATCTATACTTACTTCAGATCTGTTCTTTGTTTGATTTCTCCAGCCTAGTCTCTTCCCTACTTCTAGTCCTCCCTCTTTTTCTTCTCCATCAACCAGTTTCCCAGTCTGTCAGGCTAATAGAGTGCATTGCTTTTAATACACCTGCCTCCCCTAACATATTTATAGCGTATTTATAGAAGGCCTTTCCCAATCCTGTCACGGCTCAGAAAGTTTATATTTGCAATCCCATGAAAAGGTATTGAAGTTCTAGCAAGTTAATTCCAATCTACCACTTCCAGTGCAACCCATGGTGAGAATAAAGACACTAAGGCATATTTATAGTCATGGGGAATCAAGGAGTCTTAAATCCAGCCATGATGATGGCTACCCAGAACAAAGGCCTATACCCAGGACCAAACCCAGATTTTATTCATTTGTGAGAAGGAGTGGCTTGAGGATGAGTGACTGTGAGAGTGGCGGGGAAGTACTTGAGTGCCATGAGCTGGGCTGGGTAGGAGGCCTGAAATCACCTCTGCCATGTGCAGAGAGAAGGATACGTAGAAAGAGTAATCTGGACAACACACTGAGATAGTATCTAATGTTTTGGGGTCTGTGTTTCAGCTCTGCTGTGTAATCTTTGAAGACGCAGGAAGTCATAGCCTCTATTCCTGAGGCTCGAGCCCAGCCACTGGCTCACACATCCCGCCTCCCAACTCACTCAAGGGAGCAATGGGGGCGTCCAGGAAAACATGTCTGCCATCTCCAAAGATTGCCATCAACACCTTGGCTAGGCCAATGTGCATTGCTTACAGCCAACTGAAGGGATAAGGAAAAGTCCTAGCCAGCTCTGTACATATCAGTACATGGAAATAGGGTCAGGCTCAGCCAAAATGGAGGCAATTGCTCCTCTTTCAAGGAGAGTCACCTAAGTGGTCCTCCACACATATTTACCTTCATACATGCCTCATTTGCTCTTTATTTCAACAGTTGTGGAAAAGAAACCCCATACTCTTCCTTCTTTCCATTCAGTCAGAGCCTACACTTTGGTCAACTTTGCCGTGGAAGATCCTTACATCTGGGTTCTTGAATAGTATACACTCCTTCATATCCTATTTGCCCTACTCCTCCAGGAGATGAGTCTCATTCCATTCACTCTTTGGGGAGCTTAGTTCAATGCTGAGTACCAGCAGGTCCTAGATGGCTGAATGTGGATCTTGGCAATATCTAAAGGATCTTTGGCTCACCTCAGAGGAAGGGACCTGAAAGATGGGACCTGACCTTTTTTCCTCTCTTTCATTCTCCTGTTTTCTGTGATTTCCCACTCTCCCTCTTTTTTAAGGGCACTTTAGAAGATTTTCAAAAAAGTAAATAAATGTTCAAAGTAAAGAAAGAAAAATAGAAAGTAGGGAGATCTTTTTTCAAATAGATGGGGGAACAAGAGAAGGAGAGAGGGGAAGAGAGGGGAAGGAAAGGGATGGAAAGAAAGAATTGAAGGAAAAATTATGAAAATAGAGCTTTTGCAAATGAGAAGGGGACCAAGAATTTGAATGAACAGGGAGGGAGGGGAGAGGTAGGGAATGAAGACAGACAGACAGACAGAGATAGAGACAGAGGCGGAGACAGAAAAATGAATTGGGTATGTTCTGTATCTGTACCAACTCCCCATGTTAATTGTAATCGTTATGTACACAAACAGGTAGTAATTAAAAAAAGAAGTAGGAAAATGTTCTCCGCAACTGTATCTACAGTGGTTTATCTCTGTAGTTAGCAGTATTAGAGCAGCAGGATGTCAGACCTAGGACGGCTGGGAAACACGTTTACACAGCTGGAAACAAGGTAGAGCAAAGATGACTTCCTCAGGGTCACAGAGCTGGCGAGGTGCGGAGCTGCCTCTGGAGTCAAGCCACCGGCCTGTGTCCCTTCCACTGCACACCCTACAAACTGCAATTAAAACAAACAAAGGATATCTCGTTGTGTGAAGCGCCCTGGCAATTTACCATCTGCTTTCTAGTTTGTTATCGCTTCTGACATCTACAAAAACTGATGCACAGAATACTTATTTCCTTTGAAAGTGCAACGTGTCCTAGGGTTTTTCATGACTTTCTTTTTTTTTTGAGTCTGATTCTGGCAGTTGGGAATGGGGAAGGAAGAGGTCAAGTTAAAATGAGAGGAAAGGGCACCCACAATGGCTGTAAGGAGCCTGAGGAGTCCGGGGAATGGGGCGATGGGCGCCCGCTCTTGGGCCCTTCGGCGGTTCAGGCCCGCAGGTGTCTGTGAGGTCGCGCGTGTCGGGAGCTCCGCGCCCCAGCCAGGGCTGCACAGCTAGAGGGACCGAAGGCAGCGCGCACGCCAGGGCTCCAGGGATGCCCGTGCGCCTCTGGTGACGCGCGGAGCTTGGCGCAGACAGCGGGGTGCCGGGCCAGGACTTCAGAGAGAAGCACCGCTGGCAGAATGCGGGTGGGAGGCACCCCGAGCACAGCCCCGCCTGTTCCCACGCCCAGGTCCTGGGAAACCTCCGCGGCGCAGCCCCGGCGGTCGTGTATAAAGGTCCGCGCGGAAGGCAGGGGTGCGGTGGTGTGCCACAGCCAGGGCACAGCGATCCTCCCATCTCCTGGTGGGGACCAAACGCGGCTGACTGGGTTCCCGCTCTGCGCTCCGCACGAACCGCCACTTCTGCGAGGTCCCAGAAGGCAAAGAAGGGGTTTTCCGCGCCGGCCAGGCAGACGTGAAAAGAGGAAAGGAATTTCCACCTTCGGAGCTGGGGCCCTCTTACTCCTGTTGCTTGGCTCCTTGAGTGGCGATGGTGAGCCCGGCGACGTCGGACGTGCACCCCACCATGGGTGTCAAGATCTTCTCAGCCGGGGTGTCGGCCTGCTTGGCGGATGTGATCACCTTCCCGCTGGACACGGCCAAAGTCCGCCTACAGGTAGCCAGCCAGACGCGATGGAGCGCAGGCTCAGGACAGAGAGGGGACATCTATGGATGCGGGCACCCGTGATCCCCTGCTTTGGTTTTGACACACTTTCTCCTTAGGGAGGGTAGGTGGCCACCTTAAAAAAAAAAGTTGGCTCTGTCCCAGGATGGGATGCTTTAGGATTGGAAACTGGAACTTCCTCCTGGATTACCTAAAGAACCGTAAGGACCCGAGATACTGGGTTGACGGCGACTCTGCCAAATCCTCCAAATCTAGGGTTCGCTGAAGTTTCTAAGCTGAGACTTGGAAGCCAAGCGCTCTCCTCTTTCTTCTTTGATTCTGCAGGGTACATTCCCAGTCTGTTGGCTTAGGGGCTCCCGAGAGAGTGCCCGCGGTGGGTGTGGGTGGGGAGTCAGAATGCGCGTCTCCTCATATTTAGATGTGGGTGTGTATGGGGAAGAGTTGCTGAAAGGGAGCTGAAAGTAGCACAGGGGAAGAATCCTAAGGACATCGGGTCTCGCTGTTTCACTTCCCTCCCTGCACCTTTCTCATTTCTAGATCCAGGGTGAAGGCCCGACCTCCAGCGCTATTCGGTATAAAGGCGTCCTAGGAACAATCACCACTCTGGCAAAGACCGAAGGGCCCGTGAAACTGTACAGCGGGCTCCCCGCAGGCCTGCAGAGGCAGATAAGCTTCGCCTCGCTCAGAATCGGCCTCTATGACACCGTGCAGGAGTTCTACACCTCCGAGAACGATAGTAAGCCATGAGTGTTCCTGAGACAGACAAGTACCCCAGGGCTCAGTTCTGTTAACAACGTCAAAAAAGTAACCTGAGGGGTTTGGGGTGAAGCTCAGTGGCTAGAGTACTTGCTTAGCAGTCCAGAGGCCCTGAGTTCAATCCTAGCACAAAAAAATCACCCCAAAAAGAGTAATACACAGGGCAATGGTCTGCATAACAAACTGGGGGAGCAAATCAATATTTGAATACCACCCCTTCCTCAAATATGAGCTTTAGATACCACATTAATTAGAAATATTTTAGAAGTATTCTACATTATGCCTATTCTGCTTATTTAGTCTTATTGAACTGGCATATACCAGAAACCATGCAAGGTGTGCAGGTGACAGGCGTCTCTCTAGACAGGAGCCTTCCATTCAGAGTATGGGGGTGGCGGGGAAGAAATCAACTAACAATTGGCTTCCCAGTAGTGCTCATGCTGTGTTGCAAGTCAGCACAGGACACTGGGCACAGGAAGTGGAATATTAGGCCTAGCCATGGGAGCGTGGTCATGTAGGAGTTCCCCGAGGAGTGTCTGAATCCAGCCTTGAAAGACCAGTGGGCATAACCCAGGCAAGACAGTGAGGAAAGACCTTCCAAGCCGTGTGAAGGTCACATGCCTGACCTTCACTCAGAGAGGACTTTTTTAGTGAAAGTGGGGATGTGAGGCCAGAAAAGTGGGAAAATCCATAACCCTACTCCCTATTATCTGTCTTTAATTTTGCTCTCTATTTATCCCTATTTTAGGGTTAGGAAGCAGAATTAGAAAGATTATTTGAATTAGAGAGTCTTTGATGTGTAGATATTACTGAACCATAACTTTGTATTTCCTTATAGGAATAAATATCGAGCTTCAGGACTCTTCTTATTTTATTGAATAATATCTGCCTTAAGCAACATAAGCTAATTTCTCAAAATTTCAAGACACAAATCATGTTCTTAGTTTTTTTCTTCTAATTTTTTGTTCCCAGGTAGCCTAATATTACTTGATGTCCATACTGAGGCAACTTTTTTCTTTTTCTTTTTTTTTTTTTTTTTTTTTTT